GTAGGCGGGGCCTCTTTGCCTGAACCTAAGATGGCACTGCGCCAGGTTAAGTGAATGGTTAAGCTATGGTTACGCCCACTTCCTCCCAGGACCAGCATGGTGCCTGCTGGGGATCCCACGGGAAATTTAAAAGTTTTCTGACTGTGCTGGTGTTTTAAAACTGTCCTACCCAGAGCAGCGCGCCAAGGGTTTAAAGTTGATTTTATCTAGGCGTGAATCTCCCAGGGTCTGCGGTGGAATAGCAAACACACATGGACCCTTTTGGCTCGCCTCCCCCGAGGAGACCAAGGCAGAGCACCTACCATCTTAGCAACACTGCCGCTGTAGTCAGCACAGAGATCCAAGCCGGGGCGGGGCTGGCCTTTGCTGCCACCGGAGTCACTGTGGCAGGAGCTGGACTGCATAACCATGACTCTCAGCCCGGGCCAGGGTGCCGGATTGAAGCTCGGGCACCAGGACCCAAGCCTGGGGAGAGCGGAAGCAGCCCTGGGAGCCAGGGAGGACTGGTTCCTCTCTGCATGACCATGGCCCCAGAGGGTCCGTGCACCGGAGAATGCTGATGCTTTATGCTGGGGCTCGGTTTTGGGGCATAGAGCAGAGAAAATCGGTTGTAACCATCCTGTCCGGAGTCCGAAAGGGTTCCTAGCTTTGCTAGGAGAGCCCTATCCTAGCCAACACACCACTGAAATGTTATTAAAAAAGCATGAGTCAACTGATATTCTCTGCAAGAGGTTTATTAGGAGGGAGGGAGAAGGGGGGGAGTAGGACATGGAGAGAGAGAGAAAAGAGAAGGGGTGCCCCGAGAGAGAAAGAGAGGAGAGTAAGAGAGAGACCACGTATGGGGGTTAGCCCTTTAAGGGGCAAGGTAACCACGCCTTCCAGGTGTGGCCAGCTGGCTGACGACACATCAAGTTGCTGGGTAACCCAGGAACAGGTTGTTTTCCAAAATACTAACAGATACTATTTTGATCTGCACTGTATTTTACTTTAGTGCTGGGGGAGAGCTACCCCCTGAGCCATACTCACAGGCACACAGTGGGGGAGGGGAGCTACCCCTGAACCATGCTCACCTGCACACAGTACTTGAATATACACACTTTGACTGATAATTCTTTTTAAAAATATAATTTTATTTTTAGGGGTTGGAGAGATGTCTCAGTGACAAAGAACTCTGCTGCTCTTCCAAAAGCTTTGGGTTCGAGTCTCAGCACCTGTATGTCAGCTTAGAACTATCTGTAACTCCAGTTCCAGGGGACCAGGAAGCCTCTTCTGGGCTCTTTGTGGGGCGTATGTGGCATACAGATATACATGCAGAGAAAACAGCCATACATTATATATATATAGCATATATATGTATGTTATTCCACTTTGTAGACATTACCTGAGGTTCCCCACAAGAAATCTTTAAATTGTTTTTAGACCTTTGTCTAAAGCTTTTTAGACTATATCTACCAAAATACCTATTTCCACGTCTCTCCCGAACTGACAGATATTTTTCTTATCATGAGCTACAGAACTCTTCCGTGCACTGCACTCTTTCAAATCGCCTGCACACATTCTAACATCCTGTTTGGTTTGCCTTGTCATTCCCTTTGGAGTGTTACTTAGTAACACTATTACCTTGGTGTAGGAATTTTTCTTAGTTTTTTTTTTCTTTTTCCTATTGCTGTAATCAAAGTGCTACTTCAGGGAGAGAGGGCTTATTTGGCTCACAATGGCAAGTACAAGCCATCATTGTGGGAAGCGAAGGCTGCAGGAACTTTAGTATCTGGTCACATTACAACCACAGTCAAGAGCAATGAACAGTGATTTGACATGTGCTCAGCTCAGCATCTTTACACTTGAGCTCAGGATTCCCTGCTCAGAGAAAAATGCTACCCGGAGTGGGTAGCTCTTGCCACCTCAACCAAGCTAATAATGATAATCCCCTGCACACATGCCCACAGGCCAGCCTGATGTAGACAATGCCTCATCGAGATTCACTTTCCAAGTGATTCTTGGGTGTGTCAAAATGACAACTGAAACTAACCACCAGGGACCAGCAAGATGGCTCGGTGGGTAGAGGCACTTGCCACCAAGCCTGGTGCCTTGAGATTGGTCCCTAGGACCCACATAGTGGGAGGAGATAAATGGCTGCTCCAAGTTGTAGTCGTCCTCTGACTTTCACACATCCAATACGGCAGGAGCACATATAAAGTGGGAGACACACACACAAATGCACACGCATACATGCATGCACACACTCTGAAAAAAAATAACCCACCATCACAGACTCCATGTAATTTACTCTATGAGCCTCAAATATGGGTAGCTTCGTAGATGAAGCTCAAGTTGAAAATTCTCGCCTTGATAAAGAGTCTCTTACAGTGCAAAAGCCTATGGAGGCTTTAAGTCCAGCCTTGATCTTCACCTCCTGTTCCTGGGCTTTGGGAAACCCTTATCCTTCCTTTGGAGAATAGTCACACTGGTCCCACCGTCTTTGTCCTGTTCTCCCTATAATACCCAGCCTATTTCCTGAGTCTGAACTCTGTCCCTCTCTTACTCACACTCCACACTCCTTCTTGTTATCTATTTACTAGAAGCTTGATAGCTGAGCTTTTTTCTCATTCAAACTAGGTCCCATAGCATCTGTTGACTTGTTATAGAGAAGGCACAATACTTGTTTGAACAAGTGTACATTGCAAACATTTGTGGAATGAATCAGTGAATGTTGAATATTCTCTTGCTTCAACTAAAATCTGTTTTGGATTTGAGACATAGTAACACAACACCCACATTTGTCTTCTTCCTATTTGAATTTGGTTTCAAGTATTCTGCTGAATTTTTGTATGTCATATTTGTAAATTTCACAATGATCTCTCAAAGCATCTGCTGTCATCTCTGTTTTACATACAGGGAGCTGAGGGTCTTTAGTTTTATTATTTCCTCTAAAATCATTGGCTAACCTCCCTTCTTTGTGGGCTTACTTCTAAAAGCATCAACTGGCCTCGTTCTGAGAATTCTATGTCTTTGTTGTGACTTGCCTATGACCCTGATGCTATCTTTATCATTCACCTCACCTCTGTCTCAGACAGAGCTATGAGAAAAAACAACCCTGAGATGTCTGCAGGAGAGCTTGAAGCCAACTGAAGGAGGTGAAACGGCCAAAGATATAGTCACGTTTGCAAGCACATTTAATATGGGTAACAGAGAAGCCTCACGCCTAGAAATTAGGCTGGCATAATTGTGGCTATTTACTGACTGACTCCACGTGTCTCTTAGTTTCTGTAAACCTCAGCTTCCTCATATTTTCTTTGAGGATGCACACAATCTCGGTCTTTGAGACAAGGTCTCATACTGTAGCTCACACTGACCTGAAATTTGAAGCAATCCTCACAATTCAGCCTCCTGGATGCTGAGATTATGGACAGGAGCCACCATAGCTGGCTTGTGAGCATTGGCTAACCTGACTCTCAGGCCTGTCACATTGTGGGTCACAATCTAAAGTGCATGCGCTGTGGTTTGTGACAAGTAGTAGCTCTGCCAGCCTGATCAAATGCCTTATTATGGAAGGAAGATTGTAAATGGAAGTGCTAACTTCTTGAGTACAAATCCTCATTCCAGGGGCCCCAAATTATGGCTCATGGCCAGCTCTGGCTGGCTTCCTGTTTGTAAATAACTTGTAGGCAAATAATTTTTATATTTAATTTGATTTTAAAGGAAAATAACTGTGACATATAAATATTACATAAGATTCAAATCTCAGTGTCTATAAATACAGTTCATTAGAACATAGCTGAGCACATTTGCTTGTAGAGCATTCACAGCTGCTTTGGCAAAGCGGCAGCAGAACTGCATAGTTATGAAAGGCTGTAGCCACGCTGAGGTCATACAGTTACTCTCAGAGTCTATAAGTAAAAGTGACAGTTCAGTGTCCTCCCTTTCTACTTGTTGAGGATTCTAGCCAGGAAGGCAAGTGGAAAGAAACCTCATTTTTTTTTTTGTCTTTAATTCATTTACTGATTTCTTTTGCTTGATAATAAAAATAAAATGAAGATACACTGTCTCTCTCTCATTGTTTTTATGCTTAAGTGATAAGCAGACTGAAGCATCAGTATAATATTAAAGGTCAGAGAAGGATGAAATGCCCATCCCATTTCAAGTACCCTTCACATTCTGAATCTTTTCCTACTAAAACTCCAAATGGTTGTTATCAGGATCTGCAGAAAGTTACTTAGTTGGTCTAACCACTTCTGACAGGTTACTTCTCTATTTAATCATGGTTATTGTACAATAGTGTTGTAGAATTATGAAGTTGAAAAGGCACTGGGTTCTTGCAGTTGGCCCCATTCCTTTTTCTTCAAATATGGTTGCAATGCTTGTCTTTGAAGCAAGAGCTGGGCTACCTTGGTACACCATTGCCTTGCCCTTCTCTATTCTCTGGTATTTGACATGCTCCAAATGAGGCGTTCTCACTGATCCTAAGAATTGAGGCGAACAAGCATCAGGTTAAAGAAAAACTGCACTTAGCACCTTGAAAGTGGCTTCCTGTTTCTTTGCCCAGGCCTTCTCCTAATGAATTAAATAGTACACAGAACACAGTTTGCAAACGACATATTCTCTGTTCATTTAATCATGACAAGGGTGGGGGAATTGATCTCTGCTACATTTCTAAATAAGTATGTTAGTGGCACATACCTTTAATCTCAGCTTCTCAGAGGCAGAGACAGGCAAGTCTCTATGAGTTCAAAACCAGCTTGGTCTACATATTAAATTACAGAACAGCCAGAGCTATGCAGAAAGACTCAGTCTCAAAAACAAAAAATAAGCCATGGCTGTTATTTTGTTAATATTCTTGATGTTTTTATTATAGTCCATGCAAAAAAAAAAAAAAAGAAAGAAAGAAAAGAAAAACTTTCAGTGTATCAAATTAACAAGTTAACACAATACTATAATACTATAATACTATGAAATGTAAGTAGGAGATGGCTATTTATATCTGATTCTCTTATTTTTCCTAGTGAGAAGTTGGATGGAAAAGCTCAAAGACAAGGTAAGGAAAGTGTCTTCTTCCTGTTGACTTATACTAAAGAAAAAATAAAAGATCTGGAAAACAGTGGCGCTCCCACAGGTTACCATTTAGGAATTTATATGTATATGTGCAAACGCACATGAACCTGTAATAAGAGACCATTATTTTGAAGGACACAGGACCTTTATTTTGGGAGGGACATAGGAAAGTGTGAAGGGAGGAAAGGGAAGGGATAAATGTTTTAATTAAATTGCAATCTAAAAAAAAATTATAACAGTAGAGCTTCAGTTTGCTGTTCTGGACCTCCCAGCAGGAGAGGCATTCTCTTTGGATTCCCTCATGGGGAACGCAGGAGAGGGTTAGCTTAGTCTCCGGAGCTTCATTCATCTCTCCTCCCCACCTCCTCTCTCTCTTTTCTCTCTCTCTCTCTCTCTCTCTCTCTCTCTCTCTCTCTCTGATCCTTGTTCCTATGTGTGTGCGGTGTGTGCTTATGCACTTGTGGAGGTCAAATGTCCTCCTCTATCATTCTCTAATTTATTCTTTTGAGGCAGGGTTTCTCAGCAAACCCAGAGCTGGTGGTGCACTGGCAGCCAGCAATTCTCCCATCTCCACCTCTCACAGAACTGAGGTTACAGGAATGAGAGAGACCTGCCGTCCAATTCCAATGTGGGTTCTGAGATCTGAACTCGGACCCTGCCTTCACAGCAAACACTCTCAAAACATTTCCTTTTAGATTTGTTCATACTATTTTATATGTATGCATATTCTGCCTGAATGTTTGTGAACTGAAGTTACAGATGGTTGCGAACCACCATGTAGGTGCTGGGAATGGAATCTGGGTCCTCTGCTAGAATGAAAAATGCTCTCAGTCACCAAGCCTTCTCTCCAGCCCAACAACAAGCACTCCTAACCACAGAGCCAGCACCTTATTGTCACAAGTATAAAAAGTTACCTTGGGTCATGTGCCCTGAGAAATAATATCTTTAATCTACCCGGTACGGTTTCTTTTAGGGGTTATTGGCAAAGTTGTTCATTTATTTCCATGGAACAGGAGATTGCCCTAGGTAGCTAGCTTCAGTCTTCAATGCTCCTTCTCACTAGGCACGCCCAAGAGACACCTGTGTGGAAGCTCACCTGTGGGAAAGTCCTCCCCTCTCTTGTACAGATTCAACACAGTGGTTTAAAATGCTAATTCTTTCCAAGTTCATAACTTCATTTCCTTTTGATTTTTTCATCCTCTCCAAGTTTTCACAGTTGGTTACTTTGTAATTTTAACCAGAACTACTCAAAATATTGACGGAGGCCTGAATTCCTTGGAGTAGCCCATGTCAGATTCCATTAGCACATCTCAGCTCAGGTCTAATTGGGATTTCAGAGGCTTGAAAACTTTTTAATGATTAGGCACTGGGTTGCCTTCAGTTCCTCAGCCTCAAACCCCTCTGCATGTGGTTTTCCATATACTTTGTTTTATTATGTGAGACAGTTTTCCAATATTGGAATTGCTAATTTTTATTTTGCTACAACTTAATGTTAAAAAATAAGCCATTTAACTGCAAGTAAAATTATGCAATTACAGTTATGCTCACTATCCATTTGACTCTCAGCAAAATTTCACATATATGTGGTTTTTGAGAACAAGTTTGTTTTGTTTCACATATGTTCAAAGTGATAAAGGAAACTTTCCAGCCATTGAGGTCATTGGCAGCCACTTTTTGGTACTAGTTATGTGTCTGGTTATGTCAAAAGATATGTTCAGATGGATAGAGAAAGATTTAGAAGAATATCCTGAAAAATATTTTTTAAAACATTTTGTATCAAAATCTATTTCTAAAATATATTACAAAAATGCTTAAAATTTGGCATGATGTTACATTGAAGTTGGATATTGCAAACTTTATAATCTGCATGTAAATGCCAACTCTTACTAGCCACTGTCTTCAGAAGCAGTTTGGGTAGCCCAGCTACTGCTTCAGATGGAAGTCACTCAAACCCTTAGACTGAAAATGAAGCACATATGCAGCTGAGCTCATAAACCAAACCAGGAACCCTCTCAATCAAGTTCCTTGATTTTTTTTTTCTGGGTCTGTTAGTTTTAGGAGCTCTAAAAAGGAGGTATTTTCAAAAATTCTGGTTTATTTCTTGCTTTTTATTTTCAGTTTTTCTTTTTTTAATTTTTTTTATATTTCAGTTTATTTACTTTACATCCCAAGGACCAAAGATGCTCCCTCCCTTCTCTCTTCCCAGCCCCTGCCTCCTCCCCTTATATTAAGGTTGTTCTTAAGAGACAGGAAGCTCCCAGCTATCACAGCTGAAGTGAAAGACTCATGGGTGATGACACAGAAACAGGCCTAAAGTGCTTCAGTTTGATGCCCTTCTTTGTGACTTTCATTCCCAAGGGTAATTCATGATTCTAGATGGCATGACCAACTTGGTTGTCTCCATGCTCCAGACAGAAATGGGACAGGGGAAGTGGTGGAGCAGGGGCTGGAAACAACCTGTCATTAAAGGGAGAAGAGAGAAGGAGGAGGAGGAGAAGAGGAGAAAACATTCTATCGTTCTCAAAGTAGCTATTAAAAGCTCTACTCTTCCTTTAAAGAATGTGTTCTTGAATCTGTATGTGCCATGGTGTCTTAGTCAGGATTACTATTGCTGTGATGAAACACCATGACTAAAAACAACTTGGGGAAGAAAGGGTGTCTTTGGCTTATACTTTTTCACACTGCATCACTGAAGGAAGTCAAGACAGGAATTCAACCAGGGCAGTAAAGGTAGGAGCTAATACAGAGGCTATGGAAGGGTATTGCTTACTGGCTTGCTCCCCATGGCTTGCCAATCATGCTTTCTTTTTTTCTTTTCTTTTCTTTTTTTTTTTTTTGTTTTGGTTTGTTTGGGGGTTTTTGTTTGTTTGTTTGTTTGTTTGTTTGTTTGTTTGTTTGTTTGTTTTTGGAGACAGAGTTTCTAAGCCTTGGCTGTCCTGGACTCACTGTATAGACTAGGCTGGCCTCGAACTCACAGAGATCTGCCTGCCTCTGCCTCCTTGAGTACTGGGATTACAGGCATATACCACCATATCCACCTCAGCCTGCTTACTTATGGAACCCAGGTCCAAGAGCCTAGGGGTAGCCCGACAATGGGCTCCAGCCCATATCTCCCACATCAATCACTAATTAAGAAAATGTACCCCAGGCTTGCCTGTAGGGTGATCTTCTAGAGGCATTTTCTCAATCAAGGTTCTCTTCTCTCAGATGACTATACTTTGTATCAAACTGACATAAAACTAGCCAAAACACATAGATATATCATCATCTGTTGGAACTGATTCCCTAGTCATACCCAGATTCATGGAAGCCAGGAAAGAAGTATTTTAATTCTATTCCCCATCCCAGATTAGAAATTGTTTAGCTACTGAGAAAGGGCAATGCGTATTGGGAAACAATTAGTTCCCATAACCTTACCTTTTCTGATTAAGTGTATGAGCTGATGGTGTTTGTTAGACCATGCTTTCCTTGTTTACCTATTGGTGATGCCTTTCCAATATCAAAATTGCTTCTCAGAGATAAAGATGCTTGACTAGATTGTACGCTAAAAACTAGTGCTGTGGTTAGGTTACCAAGGCCATTCTGTGTTTTCTAGCTTTTAGAAAACATCCAGCAAAGAACAACCCAGATTTTATTTCATAGCAGTGATTCTCAAGATGGAGCCTGGGGCAGCATCTTCAGAAGCCCTGGAAGCATGTCAGAAGTGTACATTCACAGATCTTACTCTAGACCTCTGAGTTAGAAACTCTGAGGATGTGGTCTGGGAGTCTGTGCTACCAAGTCTGGCATGCCACCTGATATTATGCCTCAGCTGGCTGCGCAGAGAGCCCAAGGCGCAGTCTCAGTTCCCGTATTTGAGGCAGAGCAGTGTAATACACAGGTGTTTGTTTGTTGTCTGTTGAGACGGGGTCTCCTGTAGCCCAGGCTGACCTCTAACTTGCTACGTAGTTGAGGATGCCTTCGAATTTTAGATCTTCCTGCCTCCACCTCTCAGATGCTGTGGCTACAGGTGTGTGGCGTTATGCTTGGTTTAGTGCAGTGCTGCGGATTGAACCCAAGCCCCTGTGCATGCTAGCCAAGGAAATGCTGGAGAATGATGAAAAGAAATGGGTGAAATATAATAAAGGAATACGTTACGTAATTATTGATGTCTTATACTAGAGGAGAAATAACACTTTCTCAAAGGTCATTTCAGGGCTGGTAAAAGTTGCACTATGTAAAAGTACCACAATTTCTGTATCCATACTACTCAGCAATTAAAAACGAGGAAATCATGAAATTTGCAGGCAAATGGTGGAACCTAGAAATGATCATCCTGAATGAGTTATCCAAAAGCATAAAGATACACATGGTATATACTCACTTATATAGTCCTATAAGATAGGATAAATATACTGAAATCTACCCACCTAAAGAAGATAAACAAGAAAGAGGTCCCAGGGTATGATGCTCAATCCTCACTTAGAAAGACAAATGGGATAGATTTTGGATGTAGGAGCAAACAAGTAACAGGACAGGAACCTACCACAAAGAGCCTCTGAAAGACTCTACCTAGCAGTGTATCAAAACAGATATTAAGACTCATAACCAAACCTCCGGCAGAATGCAGGTTTGGTTAAAAAAAAAAAAAAAGGGAGGGGGGAGTTAATACGACCTGGAGAGGACAGGAGTTCCACAAAGACCAAATATATCTGGGCACAGGGGTCTTTTATGAGACTGTTTCTCCAAACAAAGACCATGTATGGATGCAACCTAGAGCCCCTGCTCAGATGTAGCCCTCAGTAGCTCAGTATCCAAGTGAGTACCCTAATAAGGGGAAAAAGGACTGTTTCTGACATGAACTCGATGGCGGGCTCTTTGACCTCCCGCCCCACCCTGGGAGAAGCAAGCAGCCTGCTAGGCCACAGAGGAGGACTTTGCAGCCAGTCCTGAAGACACCTGATAAACCAGTATCAGATGGAAGGGCAGGAGGTTCTCCCTTATCAGTGGACTTGGAAAGGGGCAGGGAGGAGATGAGGGTGTAAGGGTGGGATTGGGAGGGAAAAAGGGAGTGGGATACAGCAGGGATACAAAGTTAACAAACTGTAACTAATATTAAAAAATAAAAATAAAAAGTTGTACTATGGGAGGAGAGGAGGGAGGGAGAGCAGGACTGGGAGGGGACCAGGGAGGGGGCTACAGCTGGGATACAAAGTGAATAAATTGTAATAAATTAAAAAAGAAAAAAGAGTTGCACTATGGGCTCAGGTTAGAAATTGCAGTAAGATTTGATAACAAAAAAAAGACCTTTTTTTTTCATGATACATGTATTTTTGAAGAATAGAATATCCATCATTTTAGGTGTGCTGGCTATTTTGTCATGGTTAGGCTGTTTGTACAGTCTTGGTTGGGAAAACACATGGGCAAATTATACCCTTGGGATGCCATTTCTGAATGTGTATGCACAGCCAATGATTTTAAACAGAGAAAAGCTCCTAACTTAAAAAAAAAAAAAAAACAAACAAGACGTGCATACCACTTTATTTTATCTCCCCCTCCCCCCCAAAAAAAGTGATAGGCAACCCTGAGAAAGACCTTATTTTGCCTTAGTCAGCTTTGAAAGAAGAGTGGTTATGTTGCATTAAAAGGTGAACTGAGGGCTTCAACCCATTCTGTAATTTGTTTGTGAATTAAAGACAAGGCAAATAACATATACAAAATGAAAGAGATAACTGACTTTTGTATATGAAATATGGCAGGAGTGATACATTTGGAACACCCAGTGCTGATATGGAGTTAAGCTGCAGACCTGTAGGAGCTTCAGGAAGTAGTTGTCAAGTTGATATTCCAAAGAGCAAACATTGTCCTCTGCATGTACAACCAGAAAAGTTTCATTAATGGGGCTGAAAGTGGACTATTCTTCATATTAAATACGTGTGTACATTTCCATGCACTGAAAATATTGATTTTTTTAAAGTTTGTCTTTTTGATGATAGCACCAATGTTTTGAATTATCCAATATTTCCCTATATAGAAGATTATAGATTTTTATAAGACTCAAGCAAATCTGCAAGAAATTCAGAAAAACTTTGACTTTCTACAAAATATATGAATTTGTTGAAGAATGACTGGGTTTTGTTTCTCCATTGAAATCACTACACTGAATTAAAAGAATCCCAATGTTAAGTTGATGGAAAGTTTTCCATGTTTTGCCCTAATTGAAAACTCTCAAATATAAGGCCAATAAGGGTATTATTGAGGATGTGTGGTTTTGTGAGATCATCTCTGCTACTCCACATGCAGGTTTAGAGAATCAAAACCTACAGACATCAGTGACAATTTCTGAAAATCTCTGGCTCTCTCTCTCTTTCCTTCTGTGTGTATGTGTGTCTGTCTGTCTGTCCTATCTGTCTTATTTTGGCTCATTCTAAAACACACTAGAGATAGTTTTGCTAGACAAGGAATTAAATAGGAGCCAGGAAAATGACTCAGTGATTAAAAAGCACTTGCTGTTCTGGGCTGAGGACCAGGTTCTGTCCCCAGAACCTATGTGGTGGCTGATGACCATCTGTAGCTCCAGGGTGATCTGACATCTTCTGACCTCCTCAGGCACTGCATGTACTCGGTGATACATATGCACCCAGGCACACATGTGCACATCACATATGAGATAAACCTTTTCAAAGGAAGAAATAGTTATAAAATAAACCCTTCCTCTCTTAAAAAAAAAAAGACTCATGCTTTCTCAGAAAGACACCTATTTATTCTATTTTTATTTTATCGCTTTACAGCCCGATCCAGCCTCCTTCCCTCTCTCCGTCCAGTCCATCCCTCCTACTGATTGGGAGGGAGGATTGAGGGAGACAGAGGGGTCAGAGATACCACAAGGAGACCTACACTGTGCGCAACATATGTCCGTGTAGGCTCACAGAGACTGAACCACCCACCAAAGAGCTTGCATGATGGACATATGTAGCAGATGTGCACCATGATTATCATGTAGGAAACCTAACAATGGGAACAGAAACTATTTCTGACTCTATTCTAGGCTTTAGTTAGTTAGTTAGTTAGTTAGTTAGTTAGTTAGTTAGTTAGTTA